TCTGTTTCCTCCAACCACTCTTAAAATGTGCCGCAAATTTCTGATATTGTAACAAATGAACTTGGATATATAATTCTTGTACTGATTTCATAATAGCAGGACATTGTTGACTAATATTCTGTTTATGTTCCACTGCAGATGCAGTTCCCTTTCTGCGGAAGAGCTACTTAAGTGGCCATTCTCATGCTGTGTGTTTATAACTGATTTATTCCTAAGTCAAATATTTTCTATTCATAATGGGTTTCATTTAGATTTTAAACTGTTTCTCTAGATCATTGTGAATTCTGGTCCTGTCATCTAACATATTTGCATTCCCTCAAGTTTCTTCTCATCTGTAAGTGTAATAAGCATAGGCTGTAACCCACCATCCTGAGCATTAAAGCATTAATAACCACATTAACTAACACATCCCATATGAAGTGCCCTTTATAAACTTTTCCAGTTTGACAGCGAGCCACTGACAGCTTTTCTATGGAAATGTGCACCCAATCCAGTAATTGCAAAGGGAGCACACTTCCTTTTATGAAAACGTCATAATGGTGTCAAAAAGCTTTGCCGAAGTCTGAAATATGTGGCATCTGACTTTATGCCCATACGATCCAAATCTCTGCTCTAAAAGGAAATTGGACCGACTTGATGTGATTACTTGACATCCTCGTTGGTTGTTCCTTGTGTCTTTTTGTCAAGTGCTTTGTTTCACAGTCTTACCAGGAGGAGACCTGCCTTCATTCCCTGCCTCTTGGTTTTAAGTCTAGAAGAACTTCCTTCAGCTGCACTAAGCTGAAAAATGGCTGAAGTTTACAAAAACTACCCTAAAGGCTTGCAAACTAGAAGACAAAAGTTATTCCGGATGTGTCAGAGTTCTGGTAATACATCATTCCTTTCAGTCTCATGGTTTCAAATCAGATTCTTGATTAAAGGAGGCAGGGAGAGCCTAGTGTAGATTTTGAACGTTTGGGATCATTAAAGTTATGTAAATATCTGGGGACCAGTATGTGGATTCAGCAGAACGTTTTAGCTCGTGGTCTGTGCTATACAATGTCTGCAACCACAAAGAAGAATCCAAGTAGACGATTGTTTAAACTAATCCAGATAGTTAAATGCTTCTGAATCAAATTGAACTGGCGATCTTCTGCATGGGTGTGAAGTGAGACAGACCAGGTGCAAGGGAAACCTGGATCGTAAGCTGCGTGTGGAGCAGCGCGGGGCTGCAAAGGAAGGCAGCGCTGCTGAAAGGGGCAGCCTGTGGGTGGCTCAGGAAAGGCAGCAGCGACTCACAGTCAGGAGATGCTGAAAGCATGAAGAGAGTGGCAGTTACCCTCTCTGAGGGGAAAGGACAGCTTCCAAGCTACCCAGGAAATGTTCTTTTTCTGCTGCTTGCTTTGTTGTACATACACAACAGCAATGTATTGTCATTTACTTGTGGTTACTTCCAGTAAGAAAACCTCCCTGCGTGAAGCTGTCATGTGGTTTCAGAAGTCCTCTGGCAAAAGCCACGCTGTGTGCAGCTGAGGGCATATTAGCTACATTGCATATACAGCATCAGACGGCACCAAAGAGAGAATATCAAGAATCAGTTGAAAAGACATGAGAGAAAGCAGGGGGCTTTAGGACAAATGCAACTTTCTGAGTGGTGCTGCATTAAAGAAAAATCCTGCTTGGACAAGAGAAGATAAAAGCAGATTATGTGTTCAGCAGTTGTGAATTCAAACATAAATATGAACTGGAGGGAATAATTCCTTTTCAGGTGGTTGTTGTTATGAGCTTGCATCTGTAAATGAAAGATATGAAAGTTGTTTTTAAATGATTGGTTTCTCACAGCAGCCTTGGATTCATTTTGTAGCACGCGGACTATTGCTTTGCTGCTGCTTTGGATTTTACCCTTTCATCAGTCACCTTCAAATCTGCTTCCCCTCAGTCATTTTTAATTGAATGCCTTTTTGATTACACAAAATTGGTTGATACACTGTTCTAATGAAAATGCTAGACAAATGCTCCTTCTTGGAACTGACATCAGGAATGTTATACAAGACATTCTTAAATATGCTGGCAGCTGCCCTGAATGTAATGAAATCATGGAAATTAGAAGTATTGCTCTCTGTGTGGCCAGCTCAGGACTGTTTTCAGTGTATTGCCCTGCTTTACTGTGAATTTCAGAAGGAATTAGTTCTCTTGGATATTTCTGGAGACACTCTTCAACAGTCTTATAATTCCCCCAATCAGAAAAATTATCCTGTTGTTCTGAGGTACTGTTCCTTTTTTTGGATTGCGTGTAATTACTCGTGCCTCCTTCCCTTTGCACCACATTAAATCTTTCCTCTTGCACCAAGGAGTTTACAGTCTAGAGAAGACTGATAACTTTTCTGGTCAAAATGCATCCGTAGGGTGAAATCCTTTTCCCACTGCAGCTAACAGTAAAATTCCCACAAACTTTAGGGGTTTGAATTTCACATGCAGTTTTCAGTTATCTCTTGTGTGACGCTTTAATTAATCCTAATACGTTTTTAGTACAGAAGAGTGGTTGTAATACAGTAGCAATGCTGTGTATTTGGTGTTTCACTGCCAGCTTGTCCTGCAAGGATCGTAAGGCAGCTTATGAAAGGTGAGACCTTCTGCAGAGCTGAAGGAAGAGAGATTATCTTCATTCCTTCAAATATGGAGAACTTTGAAAGGAAGGACTGTCTCTTTACTCTCTGTGGCAATGTGTCCTATGTGTAAATGAAAGCAGCATCCTGGTTTCCACGTTACCTTCTTCTATGTATTTTTTCTCCTATTTCTTATATCTAGCTTTGTGTATTTTCATCTGATATTCAATTTCACTTCCCATGGGCGAATCTCATCTTCTTTACTTGATTTTTAGCTCTCATTTATTCCATCGTTTCTTTGCTGTAGGCTTCAAAAAGCTCCTAAAATGACTATAGTTGTGTTGGTGCTGGCACCTAAAGCTTTGCCATTGGGATTAACAAGTTGTGGGTGATGAGCACTGAAAGGGGATGGTGGCTGCCCTGACCCTTGGGAATAGAGGCACAGAAACCCATTTCTAGGCTTCTTCCTTTTCTGCTCAGTATGCTGACACCTCTTGGCCTACATTCCAGCTTCTGCCAGCACGTTGTGCAGTGTGTGCAAAGCACCGCTGTTACTCGGAGACTTGAGAATGCTTTTTCAGAATGCAGATGGCGGGCAGTGGGCTGAAGGGTGTCTGAGCTGGAGTTAGAGTCACCGTGATGCTCCGGCAGAAACCCAACCATTCTGAAAGAATGGAATGAAAATGGAATGCGGTGCGTCCATCACTTCTATCTTGTTATGATGCCCAGCATTAACAAGCACCCTTGTTCTCAAGTGCTGCTCTTGGCACTGAGAAAAGCCTGATGACGTTCGTAGGTGCACTGCATAACAGGGAAAGCTGCTAGAAGCAAACATCTCCATTGTGTGGGGTGTGATGCCAACACTTGCATCAAAGTGCTTGCTGGCACGAGAAGCCTTCAGTTGGGATGGCCGGTCAGTAGGAATGCTATGGTCAAGAGCTTTTGTAATAAATTACTGAAAGTAATTTATTAAAAGGTAAATTACTTTTTAATTTTTAGAGAAAACAAATAAACAGTATAAAATCAGCTCCATTACAGTTTCAAACAAGACATGGACTCCTGAAGTATTACTCACTCTCTGTAAATATCACCTGTGTGCCTGTATATAAAAGGTTAAATGTTTGCAGACGTATCACTCTTTGACTTTAAGATCAAAGACTAATTACTCTTTTCACTTTACATTCTCTTGATGAGGATAATGATAAACATCTGTCACTTCGCTGCTTAGCAAGCTAAGAATCTTACTGTAATCTATCTTTTAAACAGGGAGAAAGAAAAAAATAAACCAGCAGCAGCAGAAGTAAGAATACATGGACAAACTGTAGTTGGTATACACAACAAAGTATTCCAAATCAGGTTCAGGGTAATTGTGGCTCAGCATTTTGTGCAAGGAGAGGCCTCTTTCCAGCTCCAATGGGCTTTTGCTAACAGGTTGGCTACCAATTGCAACTGATCGAGGAGTCTGTAAAGGACTGCTGATGTGCAAAGTTTAGCTCAGTGCTATGTTGTCAGTGGAATTGTGCTGGTAGTGATATCTGGCTGGTATATAACTAGTTTCTATTATAGTTTATTAATTTTTGCAAGTAATTACTGTTTCCTCATGCTATCCACAGAACAGGTTTGGATTTTAGTTCATGCTAGCATGGCTGAAGTGCTCGCTGTCTTAGTTTTCAAGGAGAACTATTATGTGTCAGAGTCTGTGGAAAGGACATTGCCCTTTTACTTCACAGGTTGAAATTCCTTTCTTTTGGCGTCTTTGAGCCTCAGAAAGCAGTGTGATTTTTGTCAAAGGGATATTGTTCTTTTTATTGCTCAGTTTTCTTGGGTTTGTACAGGCCAGACCAAAGCAAAGCGCATACCTTTTAGCTTCCAGTTAAAATTCCTTGTATTTTCTTTAATTAGGTCACCTATTTACATACAAAGAAGGTTTTTTTCTGTCCAATGGAAAAGAGATCTCTAATATATAAACCAGCTTATGTTATGAGCATTGGAACCAATGATGTTTTTGCTGTTATCCTTCATAAAAAATCCTTTGTTTAGATAGGTGCTATTCACATCTAACAAGTCTGAGACTGAAATGCAGAATTTGTCACAATTGAGTCAGCTTTGGGTAACAAGGAAGTTTTGTCCCCATAAGAGGGTAAAATTCAATATCCAGACTTACAGCGCTGCATGAGTCAGGCAGGCTGGATCTGGATGGCAAAAGATTTGACATTAAATATTGCAGCCGGTGATCTGAAATAGTATCTTGGGGTTTCATTTACCTTCATACATCTTCACCTGAAAACCTCCAGACATTCTTTGCGTGAGTTGCGTTACTGGTTTACTACGTTGTAAGTCTATTTTTTCCCCCCAGTATATTTCCAGTTTGCTGTAATCTGAAATATTTGATTTTTCCTTTCTTCTTCCATGCAGACTGAAAATGATGAGAATGGCCAAGCGGACAATTTTTCAATGGACCCCCAATTGGAGAGACAGGTGGAGACAATTCGAAATCTGGTGGATTCCTACATGTCTATTATCAACAAATGTATCCGAGATTTGATACCGAAAACAATCATGCACCTTATGATCAATAATGTAAGTAACAGCCATGATTCTAGACTACTTCAACGTCTGTTAAATCTCTTGCACATGTACAAACATACCTCTTGAACAGACAGCAACAACAGTACAAACTGAGGAGAACACGATCCCATAAATGTCACGCTCCAAAACAAAATACTCCTTTCTTCTTCAGTAGCACAAAGTCCCGCAGCCTTCTGAAAGTTGGCACAGTGCCCTGAGTGCTAACTCCAGCATGCTGAAGATGGAATTCATGTCTTAATCAGAATATGTTATTATTTAAAGGTAAATTAAAGATCCTTTTTTTTCTGCCCTGTTATTGATATAGCAGGGAAAAGGGGGTTGGGAGCTCCATCTAGGCAGTCTGTGAGAGGAGTGGAGCAGTGCTTCCTTGATTTTCAGTCTCAGTTTCAGTAGTCCTTTGTCACAGTTTCTTAAAGCAGTTCTTATTTTATTTGGGTTTCTTTATATTTGCTGAATACCATTTTCAAGGAATAAATCTAGAAGCCTTGGACACCGTTGTTTAGATAAGCAGATGTGGTTGTTTGATTTATCGCGTGTGTCTTTCTTAGATCTGAAGATTATTTGATTAAAGAAATGGCTTTGAAATATCATTGTTTTTCCACTGTGCTAGAATCTCAGCCTTTCCTTTTTGGCAGAGTACTGAATGGACCTTGTTGAACTGAGCTGGCTATTAGAGCCGTTGCTGCCATAAGAATTAATGTGGAGCACACAGTTCCTGTTAGTTATGGGTAGTACCTTTGCCAATCAGTTGTTACAAATACAAGCGTGTTGTTACACAAATCTGGTAAGAAAGGATTTTCCTCTCGACTTGAAGTCACCTCTGTTTTTACGCTGATGAATTTCATTAGCCCTGTAGAATTTGTGTTTCACCTAAGAGGTAGGTGGCTGGACAGGAAATTTCATTGGCAGTTCCAGGGAAAGATAATACGAGTAGAATTTTTGCAAGAGGACAAGAGATACTCTGTTGAATTCTTGTAAGTTTAGGGAAGTCAGACTCCAAATTATGTTCCAGTCATGGGTGAGTTTCTGCAGAAGAGCACGGGAACAATGGAGCTGCCTATTTTTTTTCTCCACCTGAAATCTGACGTGGTCTAGAATTTATAAGGTGAGCATATTCCCTCGGCTCTTTCCAGGTCATGGCTAGCAACTTGCTTCTTCCACTTAGCGCAACTTCAGTGCCTTTTAAAAGGGCTGTTTTTCAGCTCTCATTTCATGAACTGCAGAGTTGGTGAGCAGCTCCTTTTGAAAGTTTACATTAAATTTTCTGCCACTCACCTCCTCATATGGAATAGTTTAAGGGTCTCAGAAGTGCTTGCTTTACTCAGAAGATTTTGTACTTGCAATCTCATCAACTGTTACATTGGTAGAAACCTGCCATGCCGGCTGACAGTGGCACGTAGAAACAGCATACTTACCACATCATCCACCTTTCAGTTGACCTCATAGTCCGTAGCTGTGTTTGGACTTGCTAGTGATCTGACAACCAGGCCTCAATCCTAGAATTTAAATTCATGGCAAAGAGTCAAAAGTTTTTAAAAGACTGTAAAGAACGAGACTGAAAACTTCAATGGACTTTTTTTTTCTTTGCAGCATAGGCAGTAAATACCACATTAAATATAATAACTAAAATAGGAATTTTTCAAAAAGTAGAGCTATTAAAAAGAGAAAGGAATGCTTGAATTAAGATTGCTAAAGCAGGTCAAAAAGTTGTTCAAAGACCTGGAAAGAAGTGGAGCTGTGAGGGAAGGTGGGTCCCATTAAGTAGTGCGTGTGCTCCTTGGAGCCTTCAGGAGTCCAACCTACTCACTCGGAGTTAAGAGAAAATATCTTCTCTTCCTCTGGCTGATAATAGTCTGTACTTTCTGTTGCCTTCAAAAGTCTGGAAACAGATTGATCCCAAGGAATTTGTTTCCATGACAATTGTTACCTCCCAAGTCCTCCTAGAACTTCCTTTCCACTTTGTGGGCCTGTAAATGAGCACTTTCAATTCAGAGGAAGTATCAAATTCAAACTCAACATACAGCAAATAATTAGATGATGTCCCTAAGCATGTTTTGAGGCCTAAACTTAGATTGCTGTATTCCAAATGCATCCCTTATTCTTCCCTTAGGGGTGGATGTTGATTACCCTAAAAGAAAATACATTTACGGCATGGAATTGCATTGAGTTACCATTAGAAATTCAAACACGCACAAACAAAACACACATTTCAGAGTTCTCACCATTAGTTCTTGATGCCTAGGTATTGCAGATTATTCAAGAGGGGTGGTCTTGGAGTAGATAATACATGCTCTATAGCCAGTGCTAATATTCATCTCAGCTGAGCAGAAAAACTCAGGAGTTCTTGTTACTACCAACCTTAAGGAATTAATTTTCTGAGGCTTTTCTGCTGCTTGCAGTCTGCCCACTGATAAATCAGAGTTCTTTGCAAGCCCATCTTACCCCATTCTGGAGGGACAGGGCAGGCTTTGCAGTATGGGTGTTCTGGATGCTGTCTGTGATTCAGCTTTGACTGTTGGTTTGAAGTCTGTAAGGGAAAACATTTTAAAACATTGTGGTGAATGTTTCTGTTTTATAAAAAGGCAAAGGCTCATAAAGTGTCACTTTCTCTTCCTTTCCCAAGCCAGAGAAAGTGGCCATTTAGGAAGACCTTCCTCTATCTAGTAAAGGAAGGAGGTTGATTCAAGAACCAGTCTTAATACAGTAGTCTTCCTTTTCAGAAGAGTGCAGGGAGTTTCTTGAGTTTGTGCTAGTGGCAGGCAGGGATCTCATGATAAACATCACAGGATTCTTTTATTTTTTTCCAAAGAGATACTTGCGGTTTAGCAATGCTTTTACAATCAGCTCTGGCCTTAATCTAATTTTAGGACTTCTTTTTTTTTTTTTTTTTTTTTTTTTGAAGTGTTGCCATTAAAATGCTCATTTCATCAAGTAGAATGTGATGCTGTTTAACTGTGATATCTGTTTTTAATGTGGAGTCTTTGGCAATCATGAGGAAAGTAGTGTACTCTGGCTCTTGATCAGTACCATCTACTGGAAAACAGCATGAGGCTCATGAAAAAGTTTTGCAGGCTCTGCTAAGACTTTGAGCATCTCTTATCATATATGAATGGGAAATGACAGCCAAGCTCAGTCAATATGGGTTTGTTTCCCTGTAAGATCTGTCCCGACCTTCTGCTCGCCGTCCTGCACAATTTGCACAGCTGACCTCATATGAATGCAAACGTTGCCATAGACTCATCAGGATTTATATCATTGTAGCTGACTAGCACAAACCCATGTGCAAATGGAACTCAGGTTTATGTAATCAGAATCTTGGGAATGTATTCCCAGTAGTAGTATCTCCAGCGCAAAACAACTCCAAAACCCTTTAGAGAGCAAAAAAAACAAATGAGACATAGATCAGAACAGCAACAAAAGGCTCAAATCAAGGATTTAGTAGGTCAGAAGTTGGTCTATTTACCAAAGTCTTATTTAATCAGAACACCTCTAGCTTTTTATCTTATTGTGGCCCTGGTTTCCATAACTGGGGCAGGCACAGCATGAAATCAATATATTGAATTAGATTACTTGGAGACTTCTTCCTTCAGCTTGAATGTGTGTGCATGGGATATTTAGAATCTGGCAAAATTGCTGGAGATGAAGAGCATCATTTACAGCAAGGTATATCATTGCTAAGAAAATAATTGACAGAGATGCTGTAAAGTGTTAGAGACAAAGACCAGTGTTAACTCCAACCATGTCTGATGTTTCAAAGACAGAAAAAAAGTCCACAGTTCATTGTGGAGGGACTGCACAAAACTGTCTGATTCTCAGATGTGAATAGCGATCTCAAAATGTAGCTTTGTAATTGTTTTAAACCCATCTACGTGCAGACAGCTGCTAAAATGTCCAGTCCATCCCTTTCCAGCTGCTCTGCCCAGCTGTATGCCAGCCTTTCCCTGGGTCTCAGCTCCCCCCCCCAGGCTGCTGCACCATCAGATCATTCTGAGTTCAGCAGTTTTGAGTCCCTCACTAGACCTAACAAAAAGCTGCATGACCAAGACTCAATGTAAACAAAGCAGTGGGAAAAACTGCTTCAATTTAGATAGGTCTGTCTCCTGGTTCTGTGGGTCACCCACTGTACTTGTTCCATGCTCTATTTTCAATTTTTCTTGTTGTTTATTTGTGCATTTGTTTTGTGCAATGAAATAGGTGAAAGAATTTATCAACGCTGAGCTCCTGGCTCACTTGTATTCTTCTGAGGACCAAAATACTCTAATGGAGGAATCAGCTGAGCAGGCACAGAGGCGAGATGAAATGCTCCGCATGTACCAAGCTCTAAAGGAAGCCCTAGCAATCATTGGCGATATCAGCACTAGCACTGTGTCAACCCCTGCACCACCTCCTGTAGATGATTCTTGGCTTCAGCAGGCCCGCAGGTGAGGTTCTTCATTTGCTTTGCAATGAAATTTAGGACTGGCAGACGTTATTAGCATTGGCAACTCCCTTCTTACCTGTGTTTTGGGCAGGTCTTAATGACACTTGTGAGGGAAATCAGACATCTTGGTATTATTTAGACACTATTTTGAGCTGCTTGGAGTACACTGAGATAAAGAACATGCGGATTTATTTTCTTGCATGCTGCTTAGAATACCTGACACAAGACAGACTTTAAACACCCACGAGCTCTTTCTAGTAAAGCCATCAGCCTTTTTCCCAGCATCCCGTATTCTGTTCAAGCCCAGCTAGGAGAAAAATCTGCTTCTAGTTCTAGTTTCAGTGAGCTGCATTTTACCTAAAGTGCCAGGAGCTTTGTGTGCTACCAAACACTAGCTGGAGGCCAAATCGAGAAATCCAGATACTGTGCTCCAGAGCAGATGCGAACCTGCATGCGTGCTGCATGTCCCCATTTACATGTTTATTTTTTAAAAACCTTTTTCCACATATAGGCATTCTATGGGTATGCATATAAACACTAGACAAGACGTTTGTCTGCTAGAATACTTTATGTTGGATTTACAGCTTGTCTGATGCTTCAAATAGCAGCCACTTCTGCCACCAAATACTGTTTTGATTCCTTTATTGAAGAAATCCCACCTGTCTCTGCAATCTAACCCCAACTGTGTATTCACAGGGCTTTTTCTTGCAAGCTTTTATTAAACTTCAGTCCTTCAGGCTGCATGTCCTAGCAAATCCTTTTCATACAACACTGTTAGAATTCTAGCATTTCAATCCATTACATATTAGCTCCTTGACTGTATTTCCATTTCTTCTATCTCAGAGCGTGCTGTCTATGGGAATGGTATGTGTTAGACATACATATAGGTCTGAAACTGGCAGCAAAGGGGGTGCAAAGAAAAAAAGATATTTTAACTTTTTTTTTTTTTTTTTTTAAATAAATATTCGCACTGTAGCAAACATCTTCAATCTCTGGTATTTCACTAGATCACCTCCTCCAAGTCCCTCAACTCAGAGGAGGCCTACATTAAATAATCCCCCAACCAGACCTTTATCTGGCCGAGGACCTGCTCCTGCAATCCCATCTCCAGGCCCTCAGTCAGGGGCTCCCCCGGTCCCGTTCCGCCCAGGACCGTTGCCACCATTTTCAAGTGGTGGTGAAGCCCATGGAGGACCTCCCCAAGTTCCATCCCGGCCGACGCGGGCTCCTCCCAGTGTCCCAAGGTAAGATGTCTCAGCTTCCTGGTGGTGGGCATGGTTCTCTTCCCGTAGCATAACAGACAGATGCTGCACGACCCAGGACAGTCAAGCACTGTTGCTGAGTGAGTCCAGTAACAAAACACAACCGTGTATTCCCTGCAGAGAGTCCAAGGTGTTGTGAGGAACCGATTTCTAGCACAAATAAGACTTTTTGGAAAGTTAGATACTTGTATTTGTGGCAGAAAGCATTTTCTTGTCAGTCAGTTCGAAGAAACTAGATTATATTACATTAAAAGCCCCTGTTCTGGTTACGTGGTGTCCTGAACACAGGCGTTGTTCACAGAGTCAAGTCCTCTAGACCTCCACCAGAACATGGGCAGTGGTGCAACAAATAGCTCACCTTCACCATTTTGAGTGCTCACCGAAGGAAGTAACAGCTCTTTGGGGAGAGAACAAGAGCAAGGCCTTGTAGAATCAGTGGAACAAACTGATGGGAGTCTGATTTTTATTCCACAAGGCAAATAATTTACAGCCAGTTGAAAACAGTTTGCAGCTGTCTAACAGTGTAGGTCACACAGCACAACATGCTTAGTTAAGGAACAGGATTTTAATGATCACATTGTTTCCTTCTGACAACTTTGCAGTTATCAGTACTTTTAAAAGTAGCTTTTCATATGTTATAATTCTGTGTGGCATTAACCACTTTTTAATATAAGTTATATGAAAAACTCGTCCTTAGTATTTATTTTCAGTGTGACATAACACACTTAATTACTCATATATGAAAGGCTCTAACTCCTAGAGCTTCAGTAACTTCCCCAATTATGAGAGGCATGGGCACATTAGGCAATGCTGGAACAAAGATCTTTCTCCAATTTTAATAAATTAACTGTTATATTAGGCTTAGTCACAGTTTGGAGAAAAGCAAACAAAAAAACCTACTTAAACAGAAACAAAAAGAAAATGTGTACATTCTCAATTTTAGAAATAGTAATGGAAAATAAAACCGTAACCTGCCTTTGGAGAAAAAATATTGAATACTTTCTTTTGAATAAGTGAGATCAGTGGTAGCTGTCAGCAACTTAAATGTGATGCCCAGTTTTTCTAACGTCACCATTTATATATTATACAGTATGGAGATGCATATCACGCCGTTGGAGGGTGATTGCTACTTCTGAAGTTGAGCACTTATATATCATTATGACCATTATAATATGAAAAATAAATCAGTTAAAGAGGGTATATCAAATCAATGAAGCATTTTTATCTATTTTCTATGAAAAAGGAGTTGCACTGCCTAATCATGAAAGTCATTCTTTCGTCTCAGTGGATACTCCATAGCTTGCATTAGGGAGAAACACCGTTTCTGGGTACTAAACTTCACACTGGAAAGAAAGAAGCCCAGGTTCCCCACTGGGAGAGCTTGAAAGGCACTGGCAGGGGTGTTCCCACTGTGCCATCGGTGGATAGATGACGTACCAGATGTGGACAGGAGGTCCAGTGTTTCATCAGTTGTCCTACTGGAAAGAACCATAGCTCTCCAGTGTCTCTCACCTTGCCTTGAGAACAGCATGTGTCCTTTGTCCAGCCTGGCTGTGATTCTGCATGAGCATTGCTTTCCTGAGGTGGCTTGCCAAGAGCATGTCTGATGATCATCTTTTTGATGCCGAAGTGATAGGTGGGATGGAGACCAGAAAGGAATTTCCAAGCTCACAGACACTTGGGGTAAGCAGCCTGTGAACAACTCAGTTTATGACAGCCACTGGTGGCAGGCGAAGCAGGGCTTGATAAAGGAGGTCAGTGCTTTTAAAATGCTGTAGCTGGATGCATAATTGAATGTACGAGTGCCTGACATTTTTGTGGAAAAAAATATCTGCAATACACATCTTCTGGACTGGATCCTAGTCCCCTTTTTTTAGAGCTATGAAAGCCTCAGACATAAAATTCTCAGATGCTAAGGAATGCAGGAAGGGTTTGCCGTTCTGCTGAAACTTCAGGTTTCTCCTGCTGACTAAACTCCGGGAGAGGAAATCCCAGAGAAGGGGCTGCAGGGGAAATCACCTGAGGGGGACAGTGTGGCAGGCTCCTGTGCCTATTAAAAGTCCTTTGGAGCCCTGGAATTTCTGCTATGCTTGGTCTGGTTTCAATCACAGCCTTCGCAGGATCATAGGAGATAGACTCAGAAAATGGGTCTGAGATATTAAAAGGAAAAAGAAATCATTTTGAGGAAGAGTTCTTGAGGAAACCTCACCTTCCTCCATAATTTGTTTCTGAGCTGAGTCTCCAGAGCTGAGGCTCTGATTGTGCTGCCGCTGTTTGCTGCTGTGTTTCTTCAAGTGTTGGGATCTGTCACATCCAGGGAATAGGTTAGCATCCAGCTTTCCATAGGTTGGTTGGTTGCAGCCCCATCACTGTCACATGGAGCTGAAAATCCTGACACACAAAGAAGTAGCATTCTATTTTTCTTGTGTTCCACTTTAAGATAAAAGGTCACTTCCAGGAGTAAGATTGGAACCATCCTGTTCCAATGAGTGGCTGAACACACATGTAGTTTGGAGAGTTTGCTACTTTATAGTGAGGTATTGCCTATGCCTTTAAAAAAAATAATAATAAAACCACACTCCCCCCCTTCCCTTTCAGCTTTTATTAGCATTTATTCAAAAGAATTGTCCAGAAACTGTGAGCTTTCTGCATTTTCTCACTATTCTTTGCATACTGTACAGGGAAAGGAAAGCGGTTAGGGGAGCAGGAAATAATTTTCTTCCTTGCTTCGCTCTGATTCTAAAGCTGTTTCGGGTTATGTGCTCTGAATATTTCTGTAAGGAAACAGAAACTATTTGCATGATACATGCCTCTTTTAATTAATCCCACTTGAGGTGGGTGGATCTCTCCCAGCAAAGCCTGTGAGTAAAGGCCCCTGGCTTTGTTAAGGGCTTGATGCCAAAGCATATATGATTTGTGAAATATTCTCTGCTGCCAGAATTGAGATTATTCCCTCTCTCTCTTAAAAGGCTGCAGTAGTATTTTGAAAGAAAATGCAGCTGTGCACTCACTTTGGTAGGACTGCTTGAAGCAGGCACCGGAGCCTCTTTAGTTACCGTGATGTGTGTTTGCCTGCCTCTTTGGGAAGCCTGATCTTGATCAATTTAGTTCTACTGTGGGATGCTTTGATTTATGACTTTTAAATGTCCTGAACGGGAATCTCAGCTTTGCCACAGGGAGAACAATTGAATTGGAAATGTTTTTCTCCTGGCAGCAGGGCCCCTGGTGTCAGTGAGGGTGGGATGGTGCTCCCCTTTCCTCTCTGTCTTGTGCTCGGCAGTGCCCCTATGGCTTCATGAAGGCTTCCCCAACAAAGAACCAAAGATCAAGACTCACTTTGCCATTCAAACCCTGTCTTAGGTGGACCTGGTTAAACAGAGGAGCTGAAGGGCTTCAGTGTCCATTCAAACAGACAGGAATATACATACTTTCAAGCACCTGTGACTTGTGCTCAGGGCTGCTGGTGCACAGCCCCTGGGGTTGAGGATAATCTTTACACGTGAGGCAAGCAGAGCAGAGAGAGAATTCATAATTCATCTCATGCCATTCAGCAGTGGTCCCATAATCTCCCTGCCTCCTCTTTCAGCTGTCTTCATACAATTTACATCAATCCACAGCCAACCAACACAGAAGATGCTACCATCCACCTGTGTTTTATTGTTTCACTAAGGCTAATTATATGACCAGTTGTGTTCGTAGCTAATCTGCATTGTTAGCCATCGTTATGTACTTCTGCCAATCCAGCATTAAAAAAGTGCTTATACTTGATAGTAATTGCAGTCAGACAATTCCAGACAAAGCCAGAAGCACTGCAGAAACATTTCCTGGTTTGCAGGCTCTGAACTCAGCTCTTCGATTGCCAAACATCAGCCACTAAGTCACTTTTCTGTGATGGATTTTATGAATTAGTGTTCTTTCAAAACATTTAGCGTTAACATCCAACACTGTGTGTTGAACAATAAGAGGATCCACTGCAAAAACTGCATGCAAATCCTCTTATTAAAGTCTGTCATAATGCATACGCAGATAAGGCCCGATGGTTTAGCCTACATTAGTCTGGGCATCTTCCTCTTGCACTCAAAAAACTTACCACTATTTTTTTAATGAAATATAAATAATAATCAAATAGCCATTGCTTCAGACTCTTATGGCAGGGTGAATAGGTGCTAGCTTTAAAGTTACTGCATGCTGATTTGGATGATCTTAGTCTGAATACCCACAAAGAAGAGTACGGCTTTGTTCTACAGTAGAATCTGTTTGTCCTCTCTCAATGTACCTTCAGTGAAGATGATTCACAAGACATAATTGGTAATTAGGAATGTTTCTTGTAAGCAAAGGGGCAAAACTTATCTGGAGGGATTTCAAAATTCTGCTGAATTTAAAGGGAAAATGGAAGTCAAAGCATAACTACTTCAGTTCTGCATTTCACATCTGTGGTCAGAAGAACATTACAGCTACACGGGTGATGCAAAGCCAGAGCCCATCACAGGAGGGAACATTGCTCTTCTGTAGTCAGTAGGTTTCCAACTCTGCCTGTCCAAAGAGCCCCAGATCACAAGACTTATGAGAATATCAGTTATTCTTTCTGGGATTTCTCCCCTATGGGAAGACATCCCTGTGCAATTTGTTACCATTCTCAATTACAGTTCTTGTTGAAAGGCACACCCAGGAATACACTCAGCTACTGGCTGCTTCCAGCTGGAGATTATATTTCCCTTTATCTGTTGGAAAGTAACTCTGCTTTTCCCCCCCTCCTCCACTGACTCCTTTATCACTATTTTGTTTTTCCCTTTTTCTGCACGTCTCTTGCTGTCCCTTTCTTGAGCATCCTGTCTACTTCTTTTTTCACCTTCTCCCCTCTCTTGGTTTCCTGCCTAGAACATTTGTCTCCATTCCCAACATATTCCCCCCTTTCCTTCTCACTGTCTTTTGTTGGTTTCTTTCCAACTTATCCCTTCTGTGGCACCTTAGTAAATCTGTCTCCTGCTCCTTGTATTTCTGTCTTCTCTTAAAGCTTTTCATCCTGTTTTCAAACCATGAAATGCAATATCTGGCAATTTTTTCTGATAGCAGCTTGGTGTTAGTGGCCGTGACAACCTCTAGAAATTCTAGCTGCACTGCTTATGGTAGCCATACCACGTGGCAAAAAAAAATTGAGGAATATGGTCACCTGGCAGCTTCATTCTTAATAGAATCAATGAAAGAAGTAATGTTTTGAATGAGGATAAACATTGGAGGGGTTGGCCAGAAAGTGGGACGCAGAACCTTTTAAAAACTTGTGGCATATCACAATATAACAACTCCTGTGGTTTCATTATAATTCTTCAATACTGTTCTTGCGAGAAATCTGAAGCAGAAATGGGCAGAAGAGACTCTTCAGCAGCCTGTACTTAACGCCGTCAGAGACAGGAGTGTCCCTGAGTTTGCTCCAGGAGCTGCAGCAATTGCTCACCCCTAAGAGGACGGCTGTCTCCTAGACTCGCAAAAGCATTTTGTTCACCACCTTCCTCCGTGTGCTCCTCCTGCAGATGACTGTCCTGAAGACCAGCTATAACGCAATTCACGGGATGGCAGACACTGCAGCCTAGGTACTACATCTACTGCCTCTGAATCTCACTTCCATCAGCATCTCCCTTCATCAGCCGAAGGCTCTCCACTTTGCACGTTCAGTGGTGCTGGAATTTTATTATGTGCTGTGGTTGGCAATGCACTAGGACAGCTGAACAAATGTTTGAAGAGTTGCTTGTTCTACATGGGTTTTAGATTTAATCTGCTTTTTGTAACTCAGGTAGTTTTGATTGTCTTTAGTATTGTTCCTGAGCTACTTGCTCCGAAAAACTTATTCAACAAAAATTGTTTTTAAAATCAGGTGAATAAGGAGAGAGCCACTTCATTTGGGACCGTTGTGAGTTACTTTTGCAATTCAGCTATAACTGGATCAGCTGAAATGGCTCTTCATTACTCTTAGCGTTGACCAGTTCCATGTGATGGAGAAGGGTAATGAAAAATTATGCAGGAGAGAGATAGACAGAGAAATAAGTAACCTAAAGAGAGTTGTTAGAAGTCATTCTAGGATAAAAATGATATTGTGACTGCAGTCCCCAACCAAAATACAGCTGAAGTCAGCTTTGGGATTGTCAGCTGGTGAACTGCATGAATGACTAATTTTATAGTTAGGTATTTTCAGTAATTTTTTGCTTGTTTGCTTTTTGTTTTTGCCTCCTTAGCCTTTTCTCTATCAATATACTATCAATAAAAGGAAGTGGTTTTTATTTTTAGCATCTCTCAACTTGAAAAAGGAAAGTAGAGTCAAACAATAGCAAATGCTGTTTGCCAGAAATACAGACAGGAATCCAAAGATGTGCTCTGGTCTCAGTTATTTATTCAGTCTCATAAAAGAGTAATTTAACAACATGAAGGTTATATAGGATTAAAGCAAGGGTGTTTAACAGGAAATTTTTGGCTGTATTTGAAAGAGTGGATTGAATAGTAGTACATTCCTAGCCTTCCTTATGCTGCAAGAGAAAATGTGTGACGTACTTTTAAAAAGAAAGTAGTGATGATTTGAACTTCCTGAACCTGCAGGCATTTTGAAACTTTCCTGTGCCCGCAAGCTGTATTGGATCATTACTGAAAAACAGGGCACTCAATGGCTGCATTAACAAGGTTGATATGGATAATGTTAGTTGTTGTCATCGTGGACAAGAAGAGGTGCTAGTCCAGCTAGAGGTAATAGCCACAATGCTTGTTCCCTTTCTTGCCTTAAGGTAAGTATAGAAGAGACAGACAAACTGGGAAAGGAGGATGGAGTGTGAGTAGGAAGAAAGAACAGAGTGAGCAGAAGTAGCTGCGGCCTTCAAAGACTTCATACATGATTTACATTGACATGGGACAGTACAGCTGAACACAGACCAGTACACAAGATTGGAGCTACTACATAAAGATCATATGTTCCTCCTCCAGATTTTGTGACCCTTCTGTTGTCATCATCTGCTGCAGATGGACAAAGGAAGAGCAGCATTCAGAATGTATCACTAAGAATTCCTAAATCTCTCTTCTTCCTCATGGATTTTTGATCCTTTTCTGACCTTGGATTTCCAAAGGGTTGGGACAGACCTCCTCTAATGTTTAGCAAGCTTGCAAACTTGTCATGTTCCCTGCTGAAGGGCAAATAAGAACACACTGTTTAGAATAATAGTCTTTTTTGGTTGCTCCATTGAATTATTATTTTTTTTGTGTGTGTTTTCAAGCTGTTTTTTTCCATATGACACGTTAATTCCCTAAAATGACTAATTTCAAAATGCAGCATTCTCTTAAACATACAGACAAGTTTGTGTCTGTGATAGATGTTAATTTGTGATGGTCATACAGAAAGCCCAGTTTGATTTGCAAAGAAATTAATTTAGTGGAGCATCATATTTTGACCTCTTTGCCTCTGAAAGGAATATCCACATTATGTAAAATCACATGCTTTGGAACCACAGTAATCTTAATGCTTTGAAATAGTGCTAGCATTTGCATTAAAGGAGATTTAGATTGCTGCTTTATGCTGTCTAGTGGAAGGACACATCCTTCCCATTTGCTGTTTTTTATTCTTTCACTGAAGAGAAATAGGCATCAGATGAAAACACTTGATCTAACTACTTTAACTTGATTATACTAAACACAAAAACTCCACTGACAGAATATTGTTTGGGTCATCTGAAGTAGTGAAATAGTGCAAGTATTGGCAATACAGCATGCTCTCTATGTTTGTGGAGCCTGATACATACACGTTCTATTGGAGGGCTGCTTCAGAACCTGGCAGTCGCATGCTATGCATCTCAGTTCTTCCATTCCTGACTTGCCCTCCAGGAAGAATCCTGTTGGCATGCTGACTAGCAATGCTTCATGTTCGATACGGAAAATAACAGTTTTCAGTAGAGAAACAAATGAGAGAAACTTTCAGTCTCTTGGACCATAATGTTGAGGTAAGAGACCATTACAAGCAAGCGTTCCTCCACTACTTTCCCCTTTCATCACCACTGAGGGCTGTTTCTCATTTCTCCCATAACATCTCTTACCCATTTTTGTCTGTGGCTCTGCTGAACCACTCTTACTTTCATCCTTTTTCTGCTTTTCCTATTTTCCTGTGACCTGTCACTAGTATTAAGTTGTTTTCCTCTTCATGATCTTCCTGCTTCTATTCAAGATCCTTCCTCCTGAGCTGATGTTCTGGAGACTCCAGAGCAGCCATGCTGCTTCTGCTACAGGCCAGGAAGAGTTTTAAGTAAGCACAGACATTAGACAAGCTCATCAGACCTGCAAACCGTATCTTGCCTCTATTCTTCAGCCATCACGGCTACACAGAATGACAGAAGTGTAGGGACTGGAAGGGATCTCTGGAGATCATCTAGTCCAACTCCCTGCTAAACTACAGCCCTTTCACTTCTGGTTTGGATTTTATGCCAAATGCAGAAGCTGGTGAAGGTCAAGATGGAATGTATAAAGATAGATTGATAGAAGAATTGGGAAAAGCAGGGCCGAAGTTGTGTGGGTCTTTTGGAATCTTACTGAAACTGAGAAAGTCATCTAGAAGTCAGATGAGTCAAGGCACTGTAACTCTCCCAAGGACAGGCCTCGGAAACGGGCTACCTGTACCTCTGAATAATCACACCAATGAGATTTGATATTTATCTCTCACCTGAAATAAGCCACTTTTCTGTTCTGGAGTGACTCACATCCAGATTTTTATTGTCACCTCAATTAAAATCTGCCTTCAGTCAGACCTAGAGCCATTTGGAGATTTTTTCAAACTGTTTTCTTGTTAGATTCTGCAAAAACAATGAGTATCACATCACGAGGTACTCCAAGGGGCCTGCGTTATAGGGAAACTGAGATGGAGGAAAAGGGAGAGAATAATGGACTTTTGTTTACAGCTTCAGATCTATAGGAATGTATCATAAAATACAGTTATGTGCATGCCTTCCGCAAGTGTTCTCTGGTGGTCACAAGCAAACAAGAATGTGAAACGTAAGTGGAAACGCAAGCCTTTTATTTAGAAGCATGCTAGCTGTGCTCCGAGAAGAGAAGCCATCTTCTGAGAACGGGGCCTCCCATGGTAATTACAGCTCTGCTTTACTGAAAGCATATTTTGTGGACTCTGTGTGGGGAGTGATAGCACTCTGCAGAAGGCAAATGTTTGAAGAGCTCCCATATGTTTCTGATCGCATTTTAAGTCTAGACTTGCTTTACTTAGTTTCATTCGCTCTGTACTTGCCTAGCTGAAGCTTTTGGGGACTTCTTTCAAAATCAAAAAAAACGGGGTGTGCTGCTTAGGTTAAAAATAAATAGAAAACTTTTCCTTTTAAAAAAGTTTGTGCATGGGGGTAAGAGTTATCCTCCGTTCAAAATCCCACTGAGTTCTTCAAAGGAGGAGTTTCTGCAGCAACATCAGGGAGTTATTAAATACATACTTAGTCCACAATTTTCATTGGTAAATTCTTTATGTCTGCTTAATGTGTGCTAGTTAGAAGAACTGATTCTTTCTGCAGACTCGTTTACTCAACCCTAGGGACCTATGATCCCCTGCCCCTTTAGCACTAACTCTAACAAACACTGTTTCCCGTTTTGTTTTTTGGTGGTTTTTTTTTTTTTACCCTAAAAATAAAGGGAAAAAGAAAAAAAAAAAAGAAGAAAAAAAAAAGGCAAACAGCAGAGTGATAAAGGGGCTGAGGGGCTGAGCAGTGGGACTCGGCCCCACAACTACAAAACACAGTGAAAATGCTTAAAACAATAAGCAAACAGGAATTAGTGCAGAAGTGCCGTTTTTATAAGACAGAGCTTTCTATGAATCCAGAGCAGCCCCTTGCAGCCTAGGAGGAGCAGCTCGGTGCTGCTGATGGAATCGCTCTGATAACACAGAGAAAATGTGCTCTGTGCTGTCTCTCCGTGTCTCATCTTTTGGCTCCAGACTAAACATTTAATACGGCTTAGTCACATATTTCCTCGCTGCCATGGCAGCCAGTGCAGCCGGACCTGCGGGGGCTTGCTGTGCTGCGGCTGCCCCAGCTGCACGGCCACAGGCAGGCTGCAGCTCCCTCTGCTGCTCTGCTTGCCGGCCTCTGCACGGCTGCCATTTGAAGAGACTGGCAGTACACATTTATTTAACCTTTGCTCGACTTCAGGCTCAGAAAGCAGCTGTGCCAAAGCCAAGCCAGTCTTCCTCAGATCTGTGCTTTTGGAGGTGCCTGCTCCATTATCACGGGGTGGCAGTTTGGCTGCCAGGCTCTGCACTGCTCCATCGCAGCCAGCACATCCAGCTGTGATGCAGGGAGAGACAGGGGCATGGGGTAGGCTTCTCCTTCAGCCTGGGGTTGATTTCTCTTTTAGAAGGAGAAAAAGAGGTCTGAACTGTGCTTCCAGAGTAAAAAATGGTCGTGCAGTGGCTTGTCACCTTGGTAGGGAAATCTAGAGACAGACAATTCCTGGGCTTGTCCGTTCCCTCACTTTCTGCCCTGAGCTCCAGCTCATGCCATCATGACTGCATGCTGGTGGCTAATGAAGGCCAGGTCTCTTCCCAAGCTGCAGCTCTGTGCTAGGCCATGCCTGAGGCAGTGGTCCTTGGCCCATCTTGTTGCATGACAGGCACGCGCCCAGGAGACTGAATGGTGTTTTTGCAGGTCTCCCAAGCCTTGCCTCTTCCCAAAGGCTGCCCAGGAAGGTGGTGGGGTCACTGTCCCTGGAGGTGTTCAAGAGCCATGGAGATGTGGCACTGAGGGACGTGGGCAGTGGGCATGGTGCGGGTGGGCAGATGGTTGGACTAGGTGATCTTAGTGGTCTTTTCCATCCTCATGATTCCATGACTCTATTCTATGAAATATCTGCCACTCCTCTAGAGTGGGCAGCACTCCTCTTGCAGAGGGCACATCCCGCTCCCCCAGCCATGGTGTGATCGTGGAGCCAGAAGGAAGCTCTGAGCAGCTGTGCTGCCCATGGAGCAAGGCAGCACCATTATGGGATGGAGGAGAGGAATGGGGCTGAGAAGGTCTGCCTGTGCCTCACTGCATCCCTGTATTTTCCTGAGCAGTTTTGGATTGGGCTTGAAGGAAAATAAAAAATAATTGTCCAAGTGCAGCAGCAGCCCTGGGTCAAGGAGAAAAGAGGGCTCAGGCCTGATTTTGATTCAGGTTTGGTTTGGGTGATTAAATCCAGGATAACCTCCCCTTGTGCCCTCCAGTTTCTGATCCAGCTGGGCTAAACAGCAATTTGACTAAATTACATTATTTGAACTCATTGTGCTGCATTCAACCTCATATTAAAATGCATGCTTTGGCTTGTAACTTTTAAATTTGATATGAAGACAGCTGTATGCATTTTCCCTTGTTTGTAAATTGTATACACATGATATGATGTTTTCAGTAAGCGCTAAACAATGCAATGTGAGGCATTTCAACAAAGGAATAATTTAATGCAACCCAGCAGAAACACAGAGCCTTAGAAGTGGTTCTTTATGAAACTACAAATTTTGGAAATGGGTCCAGAAGACCTACACTGGAGCAACACAAGGAACAATAGTTAAGACAGTAACATTTTTCTGTAAGAAAAATACACCATGAAGAAATTATATTTTGCCTACTTTGTTTTAGCTTGCTGATTTACTTGAACGCTTTGGTTGGCATGCGTTCTGTTTGTTGCATGTTAGGGATTAAAATTCTCATTTCTTCACCAAAAGAGAATATTGTCATACAAGATGCACTTTAAGCCAAACAAGATTTTTTTTTTGGTCAAGTGTAAATTTGTCTCATGTATTATGTTCCAGTTCAAAGAAGATTAACACATTGTTGTATTCTTTTCATCTTCTATTTAATTTTATTTAACAGAACGAGACAAATTTTCTTTATAATATTCTTCAGAGACAGGCAGTTCCTACTTTGAGACAGGTAGAGGACGGAGTAGGAGAGGGCTCTGTGGTTTGTTAGGGTCATTGATAGAGTCTGCCAAAGCTGGATTAGAATTGAAGAGCCCTTGGCTTCCTTTGTTCAGATCACAAGCTCAGATATATGCTCTTATGATGATCTCTGTCAGATTAAGGAACAGAGAGAGCATTTGTACATCCCATTCAAGAAAGTAGGGGGCAAAAACACTGTGTTAAGAGATGGAATGGAATAAATTGGAGCAGTAGATTGCTGCTGGAGAGAGCTGAATAGCTACTGAGGGAGCAGAGTAGCAAGGAGATAGAGAACAAGGCAGCACCAGGCAGAGGTGTCTGAACAAGTGCTGGAGCTAAAAGCCAAACAGGTACGTACCTCTCAGCAAGGCTCTGCATGGCAGAGGGGTGTTTGAGCCCAGGGGAAAAGGAATATTTACAAAAACACTCCTCCTAACAAAGCTGATTTATTTCCATGCCATGCTGATGTGGACTGTGTACCCTAAATATAAGCAGAAATGCAAAAGGCAGTTGCGTTGTGACCAAAGATAAGCTATCTGTAACTTTAGTAGGGTCTGTGTGTCCCCTTTAACAGACTGGAGGAGAACCAGTTCTGTGCCACCACTTCTCTGTGCTGTGGTCCCAGTAAGACCAACTGTGTAAGAAGCCACAGATTTTTGTTCTGCATACAGTGGCAGAAGTCACTGCAGGCTGCTTTTGTGAAGGCATCTGACGACCCTCACATGTGCCCGTAAGTCCATTCTGTGGCTGGCCAGGCTGGGATGACCCCTGAGAAAATGGGAATAATGATCACCCACTGCTGATTTCCCTGGCAGAAGAGAGTGGCTGTGTTCAGAGGTTAAGCAGACTGTGAGCTGGAGAAGAGAGCTGTCAAGTAGGTGAGGGAACTGATCCACGGTATGCATGCTGCAAACCCTTTGCTTTCTTCCTTGTGGCTGCCAGTATACATGGAAATGGTTGTGTTTGGGTGCATGTGCAGGTTCATGTAGCAACCACGAAAGGTGCAGAGTTCGCTCTTAATGTTTGTGCTTACTGTTTCTTCTCTCTTTTTCTCCAGTCGAAGACCACCCCCCTCACCTACTCGGCCCACTGTAATTCGTCCATTAGATTCATCCCTGTTAGACTAAATGAAGTTTCTGGCATGCCACTCATTGTTAACCAAATATGTGGAAGCAAACTGCTTGATAACTGTTGCAATAACCAATGTATAGTCGCATGTATGGACGTCCATAGGCAAGTAACCAATTTTACTGATATATCTCTGTCCATTCCGCATTGTTTATGAGCTCTCAAATGTTTTGGGAAGGTCTGTGCTGTCTTGACTTTTCCTTCTGCGTAGCTGATGTTAGCTAATGTACTGACACACGTGTTCACCCAGGCACCCCTGCTCACAATCCTATACAGTCAAAGGAGGACTTGAGTCTGTGTTTGTGCACGTGTTGATTTTAGCTGCTTCTTTGTCTCTTACCTGCCGAAATCTTGCTTTTATTTGTACCTTTCATGTTTTCTGTCACGTGGTGTCTTACAGTTGTGCCCACTTTCTATGTTAATGGCTAAACTGGGCAGAGAAAAGCGTGGTTTCTTATCAAGCTCTTCTGAAGGCCTCACGCTTTCATCTCTCTTGCAAGAAGCTTGCTGGAACGCTGCTTCTCCTATCATTTTTTCTGATCTGCAGCTAAGTTTATAAGGAATATTGCTAAACTAGAAGGATGTGTGTGAGACAGTGTGTGCTTCACTTTCCTTCCCCTCTGCTGATTGATAGCAGAGCTGGTTGGGTGGCAGGTAAGGAGCAGGCTGCAGCACCCCGGCTTGTAAGGTGTGGAGCTGGCTCACCCTGCAGCAAAGATGTGAGAAGGGCATTTTGAAGAGCCAGTGTGTGACAGAGCAGGCTGTGCCAGCTTGCTTTGTCCTCTGGTAGCGCTCACTCACATCGGTCCTCCCACTGAACTCGTGTGAAGCCTTGTGTGTAAGTGAGAGCATGTAATATGTATATATATGCTGCGTGGAAGGGTCCAGAGAACTGAGAGATGTATATATGTATAAACATATGCACAGCTGTAAATGGGCCCACTGTGGGAGCCAGTTCAGAGCTATGGCCTAGATCTGCATCTGGGCTTTCCAAGCGATCCCATTTGGGTTTGAGATATTTGCTCACACCAGTCGATAAAGTTCCACAACGTCCACAAAGTATTTTCCCTTTGTGTCTCTTGACATTCTACTCACTTCAGATTAGGAGTCATTGTATCCAAAAAGGTGCTGAGAAATGCTCAGCTGTGCATCCTGGCCGTGCATTTTTTTTAGCAGATGTTCACTTTCAGAAGTTCTCTGCCTGTTTTACACTGTGTATTAATGTAATATAAAACCTTTTGTCTTAACTGCATTCCTTAACTTTAAACACTTAAGCTCAGCAACACCCCTGTAATTTAAAACTTCTTGAGTTGACAGGATTAAAACAGAGATGAATTTGGCCTTGTGTAGTCAGAAAATATTAATTGCTGTTATTGCAATTATGGTTACAGATCCCTAGGCAAAGCGATTGGTGGTTTCAAAGTCCCCCACTATAATCAGTCTAATAAATTCACTTATTGAAGCTGTATGTAGGGCTCCAGTATGCTGCAGCCCCGTGGTTAGGAAGAATCCAATCAAGGAGCCACAACCAGTGGGGATTTTGCCCATTAAATATTCCCAGGCTGCTGATTGAATAACAGTTATGTTCACTACCAAAGCAAATCGTGTTTCTGCTTGTAGAAGAGAAACGAGTTTGGGAAAGCATCGTGATTTGTATGCTAGCCTGACTTTAATTTCCTGTCAACCACACACTTGTGACACACACCTGGGGAGCTGAGGTCAACATCTGAAGCACGGGGAAACTTGTCAGCGCACCGGCATCTCGGTGAGCTCAGAAGATTGCTTAAATGGCTGCTGTTTGTTTGGGGAGTAGGCTTAGATCCTCCACGCGGAGCACACAGAATCAGCTTTCAAGGATGAAAAGGCTGTAAAGTCAACCACATTGTTCCACCTCAGCCACAGAAAGTCACCTTAATCCCAAATGTTGGTATTCATTCAGTGCTACGGCGAGCCCATGGGCTGTGTTTATCCCACTTTATCCTAAGCACTTGGCTGAGTTGTCCAAGGTCTCCCATTTGTTCTGTGGAAAGAGAAGGGATGACTCAGACTGGTGTAATTGCTTGGGAGATGAGGGTGGCAATGCCGGTAAGTTAGGAGCCTCAATTAAATGACGTAGGTTTTGACTTAAAAAGGTGTGCTTAAATCTTCTGTACTTGAGACTCCTTAATTTACTTTGATGACCCTTTCTGTCAAGAGTAAGGAAATAGCACAGCTCAGTGCAGTGGCCCCAGTGTCAGCAGCAGTGCATTCTGCACTCAGTTTTGAGCTCATGGGACGCGGAGTGCAGCTGCGCAGCCTTCCCATCCTCTACATCTCCATCACATCTAAATAAGAACCTGCTCCTGAAATGCAGAGCTTTGAGACGTGTAAGCTAATAACTGGTGTTGAGCACAGATCCATAGACTGATGAATTCACCTCGAATGTATTGCATATACACTTTTTAGAATAAACTATAAAGAATTGTTCCTAGGAAACATGCTGATTGCTTCCCAAGAAATTGCCACTTGCGATTGACTACATACTCTCCTCCCTAGCTTTGACCCATTTTCCTCGTGCTGTACAGTGCCTGGAATGTGTTTGTTTGTCCTGCTGGCTCCTGATTCTGGTAAGCTGTGTCTCTCCCATCCCTTGTTCTCAGAGGAGCAAGTTGGCAGTAGCTTGCTCTGTGCCTGAAGGACAGGAGGAAGAGCTCACCA